CATATATATATAGGCAAGCAGAATATCTTCAGTCATAGAGTTATCAATTTTTGCTTGTCTGTCTTTTCTGTGTTCCTGTCCTGAAGTTCCATGCCATTCCTTGCATCCTTGTAGTAAAGCCTACCTAACTAGCTTGGGCTGGCTTGAGGACAACTTTATTCCATGAAACAGCAGAAGCCTGTCCACAATGGCTTCCTTCTCTCTTTGTCCATCCCACAATGCTGCCAGACAGGACTTGTCTCTTAGTCTTCATGTCCATCCACACCAGGAATGGCCTTGTCCACCTCAACTCTTGACATGTCTACACCACAGCTTCTCTTCAAACCCTCCCCAGTGCACCCAGTTGAAGAGCCTCTCCACTCTTCTGAAGGCCCTCTGCCTTCCACGGATGCACCTTCTTTAGATGCACTGCCCCTGGGCACACCCCTCACTACTCCTGAGCTTACTGTTCCCTTGCATGTGGCCTTTTGCAGGGACTTATGAAGCACAGATTGGAAACTGTGAGCCGTTACTCTGAAAACTTTGAAGGGCTTTTCAAACATAGAAGCACTTTCCTAAGAAGCTCCTAAGAACATAGAGTCATTTGAAGATGAACATGCAGATTCCTCATTCTTCACCGTTTTTTTCTTTACAATCCTCTGGGAACTTGGAAACAGAACATTCCAAAGTGCCTCTCCTTGCTGTACCAGTCACATAAGGCAGGCTTCAGACATACCTGGCTGGCTGAGCCTTTGTCCCGAAGGAATTCAGGTGGGCTCACTGTCTTGTACCACTTTGTCTCTCGAGCATTCATCACTAGAACTCGGAAAATTCATTCTAAGTCTGTCCATAACTCTGCATTTTAAATGTTCCGTGGTCCATAATAAATAATTCACATAAAGAACTGGTTGGATGGAGCACAGCAGGATACAAAGAGGGAAAAACAAAACTCAGTAACCCACATTTAATTCAACCAGCAAAAACATGAAGCGAAGTCATTAGGACACACTGGAAGGAACAGCATCATCATCGTTACGCAACCCCCCTCTACCCTAAGTGAAACACCGTGATGGAGAGGGGTTATAAATTATGGCATCTTCAGTTAATTTTATATGACATAGATACAAATGACTTTATTTCTCCTAATTGTGAGAAATAATGAGATCTCGTCTCCCTCCTTTTATATCAGTCCTCTATCCAAAGGTTCTGCTAATTTGAAACATGTGGTAGAAAAATACTGGGGTATTGTTCTAAAGGAAAAAAAAAACCACATACACACAAACCCACAATTCTAATATGCAGAGAAGAATATGAGCTTATTCTGCATGATAGTACAGTGACAAAATGAGTTAATTAGCATCCCATCCTAAGATGGATCTGCTTGTCAGAAGAACAGGAGCCATTATTTCACACAAAATAATGACCCAGATAAACAGTAATGACCGCAAACCTGAACAGCTGGTGACACAGCTTCATCTTGGCCTAAGTGAACGGCAATTAACAAGTGTCACTGCTGTATACATAAATGGGGATCACATAATTCAATACATATTTGCAATGAAAAACACACTGGCTTTTTGTATATTCTTTCGCAGGAAGTTCCCGAGGTCTTCTACCTGTGCACTGACAGGGAGATTTGCACATGTGGACTCTGAAGAGGGATCTTTTGTTTCCTCTGCTATTTACAACCTGGTGGTGTTTCTCCCACAAAGCACATCCAACAGAAAAGGGAGCAGAAGGAAGAGCATCCAGTCCCACACTTTTGTCCCCCTTCTACTAGTTGTCACTAAAGCCACATCCAATGTCGACAGTGAGCAATGCTGTATCCTTCTAAGCTCAGCACACACCCGCTCAGGGTGCAGGGATGAATGGCAGGGCAGTGGTCACACGCCTCTATACTTCACCAGGCATGAAGTTTTTCTTTCACTCTGTTGGCCCTGACCATCAACTACCTCTTTAATTTAGAAGAAGAAACCCCATGGTCCCAGTGAGAGAGTTGTCTATTCTGTCCAAAACTTACAGAGTTTTCACTTGAAAACAATAGAAGATTTGGCACAAGCAAAGTAGTAAGATGGGCTTTACAGTATATGGTGTCCAAAATGTTAAAAACAGAATTCTAAAACAAATATAAAACGGTCAGGCGGCAATGATTTATTCAACTACTGAACAAAGCCATCCACTATAGATGTGTCCACAGATACACATGTAATCAGTTGGGGGAAAAAAAAAAAAAAAGAATGCTGGGATTAAGAGTAAATGTCTGCACAACATACTGGGCAAGTCACATGATGATTTGGTTTCAATGAGACAACAACCCTAAATCACACATTTTTTAATGGAACAAATTTCACAGTGTGGACAGTGTCTCATGGCCTCGTATTTTTCACTCAATAATACTTCATATATTCCAAAACGTCTGAGTCTTAATCACACAACTATTTTTTAAAACAATTGTTTAGAAAAACAGTTTACCCAGCTCACAGGGCAAACCCCACTTCTAGGATGCTCTGCCATAAGCTGGTAAGTTTTTCATTCACAGCAATGCAGGAAAGATGACAGTTTTTACACAGATGTCTACATGAGTTGGAAAAACACCCATGTTCTTAGACTTATGGCAAAAAAGTACAAATATGAACAAAACTGAATCATTCCCCATTTCTTAAATAATGATCTGAGTTCTACTGGAATAGAAAGTATCTCAGTCATCCCAGTAAGAGATAGTCTAATTCTTAATCTATAGGGCTTGTCCTCCACATATAGGTGTGGAAATTCCCAAGGTGTTGTAGAGGCTGAAAACACTAAATGTTGAAGGGAGGGAAACAAGAAGGAATCATGCATCCTTTAAAGGGACAATCTAATAATTTCGCTCTTCCGCAAAACCCCTCTCACTGGCTTCCCATTGCTTTTACAGCCTCCCTCTGGCCTCATTTTATAGCCTTGACTTTTCCCTTTGCACTCCAGCCCCTCTGACCTTCTTTTGATTTCACACACTTCCTCCTGCCTCAGGTCTCTGTTTGGAAGGCTCCCTAACTTGACTTAGCACAGCCCCATCACCCAATAACTCCTCATCTGATCGTGGTTCAGGCCCCACCTTCCCGACCAATGAACCTCAAACACCGGAGGCTGTGTGTTGCTTTGACGTCGAACAGGTTTAAATGGAGCTTCAAGGCTAAAACAGACTAAGAAGAAAGACCTGGTGATCTGCATCTGAAAATCAGACAACAAAAACTTTATGGACTATGGTGGTCTGATCACTAACCAGTCACGGGGATGTTGCAGGACACAGAACTGCTTTGTTCCATGTGTGTGTGGTTATCTAGAGTCAGGGGCCGACTCAACAGCACTGAACAGCAACATTATCCTCCTATCACTAAAGGTCCACGTGCTGTGGCATCTATCCACCCCTCTGCTTGCTTACAGTGCTCCTTTAATATCCTGTAAGAGACTGATTCAATACTACCTCATTAACATAACAGAACAACTCATTCCCAAGTGAGATTATAACCGAAGGCATAGAGGTTAGGATTTATAGCACATATTTTTTGAGGGCGGGTGGCCTACACATTTTAATCCAGACACCTTCTCTGATCCTAGACCACGCTACACCCACGCGCTTCCCTCCTTGTAGTATTAATCACAATTATTCAAGGATCTGCTGTCCCGACACAGTGCTTAAATGCTCAGCTGGTAACTGAAGGGTCGGCAGTTTGAATCCATGAGCGGCTCCTGAAAGATGGAACAATCTGCTTCTGTAAAGATTTGCAGCTTAGGATACCCCATGGGACAGTTCTACTCTGTCCTATAGGATCTCTATGAATAGTAACTAACTCAACAGCAGTGATTTCTTTATTTGACCTTCTAACCACGAGGACTTGAGAGTGAAACATGGCTAGCTTGTTCTCTATTGTATCCCAGCACTTTGTACTATTTCGGGTCCAAAACTGCCAGTCAACAATATTTATTAATGAATTCACTAACTGACTGATTGGATCTCAAACAAATCACCATCATGCTTACAGGATGGGAAATTGTTGATTACTTTGTTGGACAGGGTAAAGGAGAATAAGAAAAACAATAAGTAATAAACTTAGCCCCAGTTTGAGGCATGGACATTCCTTCTGCAATAAACGTCATCATATTGAAACTCAAGTAGATCCTAAAATAGGCTCAAGACCTCATGACATGAAGCAAACTTCAAAATCTGACAGATTTTAGGGAAGAAAATTAATTTCCTACAAACGACATAATTTGCCCTGGTACAATTTCATGCCAACAGCCACCGGACTCTAGCATGTTCCCGCACTAGGAAAGGAAGGGAACAACCAAACCCTGAAGGATGATGAATAAGTGGAGACTGGGGGCTCACACCACCTGAGGGTTTGGGAGGAGTCCCAGCAGTGGGCTCTCAGGCCTGGCAGCTGGAGTTGTGGACGCCACTGCAGGTCTAGAAAACAGGGTAGCTGTCAGACTGAGAGGGAGGGGTGAACCATCTTGTCTCAGAGTCAGTTCCAGCCTGAGACACACGTGGGAGGAGCTGCTCTTCTGAGAGCGCCCAAAGATCCAGGTGAGGGAGGCACTGGCTCCAAGTGGCCTCTGGAGGTGACACATCTGCCCTGAGCCAACTCCCCTTCCCCCCTGCTCACTGGGTGATGTGCTGTGAGCCTGGCCAGTGTCTGCTGACAGCTATGCTTACCTTCTTGATGAACTCTGGGATGATTTTCTGGTCTGTCAAGTAGTCTAAGGAGGAACAGCAATCTAATTCCAAGATGTAGCCTTCATTGTGGAGGTCAGTTTTCTGAGATCTGAAGAGAGAGACAGAGACAAAAAGAAAATACACAAAGACTGTTTTACCAAATATATTCAAAAAAGAATGTTGTTGTTGTGTGCCATGGAGTTGGTTCTAACTCATAGAGACTCTGTACAGGGTTTCTGAGGCTCTAAATCTTTATGGGAGCAGAAAGCCTCATCTTTCTCCTGTGGAACAGCTGGTAGTTTCAAACTGCTGACTCTGAGGTTAGCACCCCAATTCATAACCCTAAATTTGTCCTGAAAGGTAATTACCAAAAAGGCACAGCTACAAAATAAGATTATCTTTGGTAGACAACTGAAACTCACTATCATGGAAAGACCTACAAGATATCATCTACTAAAAGTCATCATTACAGAACGTTGAGGTTAGTCCAATATGGTATATATGTTAAGTAGCACACACTCATACACACACACTCCAAAACTTTGTATTTCTCATTGGTTTATATCTGCCAGGGAATAGAACAAGAAGTAGTTGGCCATACACCAAACCAGTTACCCGTAGGGAGTCAGCAGGGTGTTCATAGGAATTAGGAATGTGTCAGAGAGGTCAAAAGTGACTTCAGCCATGTATCTAATTTTTTGATTTTTTAATGATGAGAATATGTTGTTATGTCACTTGGAAAATTAAATTAATTATGAAAAGACTTTGCCTTCAGAGGGCAATCTGTTAAATGTGTATCAAAATAAAAGATGCATTAAAGAAACACTACAAGACCACTAGAAATTCTGAGAAATCAAGAAGGGATATGAAGGGCTGTTTCAGGCAAACCCCTGTGGTCTTTTGGTCAAGGCCAAGCCTTGCAGCCCACACTTGACGTCCTCCCACACACTTTGGGAACTGCTTCCCTCTCTCCCACATATATGAATGGAGGAGGAAGGTTCAAATCTGCGTCCACTCTAGAACTAGCAGCAACCAGTCACCAGGAGGAAACTACACCTCTTCACAGCCATTCCTTTGAGGGACTCCTATAAGACACTAATCAGTCTGGGAAACTCCTGTGAGCCACATGGTCAGAAATCGAAGGTGATTCCTTGGTGGAGTCAGGCATAGGGAAGCAGGAAGTAGGACTGCAGGTAAGGGTCAATAGCATGTGCTTTCTTCTCGACAATTGGCTGTGTGGGGCGGGAGTCTTTGTTGGAGGGTGGTTGCTGTTATTAAGTGCCGTCGAGTCGGTTCTGACCCATAGCGAACCTGTATAGGGTTTCAGAGGCTGTAAATCTTTATGGGAGCAGAAAGCCTCATCTTTCTCCCGCGGAGTGGCTGATAGTTTCAAACTGCTGACCTTAAGGTTCGCAGCCTGATTCATAACCACTACTCTACCAGAGCTCCATATACAACCACATATGCAGCTACTCTCCACTAGCTGAGGAAAGAGGAAGCTGATAAGACTGCTCTACCAAAGATACACATGTGCATGTATATTATTTTTTAATGATGACATATAAATTATCTAGCCTTATCACACACTGGAACAATAAACAACATCCATATAAATGGAGAAAATATTGAAGCTATCAAAGACTTCATTTTGCTCAGATCAACCACCAACACTCAGGAAAGCAGCAGCCAAGAAATCTAATGACGTATTGCATTAGGCAAATCTGCTACACAAGACCTCTTCTAAGTGTTCAAGAACAAAGATGACAGTTTGAGGAACAAGGTGCACCTGACCCAAGTCATGGTATTTACAATAACCTCACATGCATGTGCAATTTGAACAATGAATAAGGAAGACCATAGAAGAATTGACACATTTGAGTTATGGTGTTGAAGGAGAATATTAAAAGTACCATGGACTGCCAAAAGAACAAACATATCTGTGTGAAGGGAGAACAGCCAGAATGCTCCTTGGAAGCCAGGATGGTCAGACTTTGTCTCTCATACTTCGGACATATTATCAGGAGGGACCTGTCCCTGGAGAAGGATATCATGCTTCCTAAAGTGTAGGGTCAGAGGAAAAGAGGAAGACCCCCCAGCAAGATGGATTGGCACAGTGGCAGTATCAATGGGCTCAGGCAACAATTGTGAGGCTGGTGCAGAACTGGGTAGTGTTTTGTTCTGTTGTGCATAGGGTACTAAGTCGATGGCACCTAACAACAGCAACAACATCCCACACTTAGAGTCCTGGTGTTGCATTGTGGGATAAACACTGCACTGCTTCTCCCAAGGTCGACGGTTCAAACCCCCCAGCTCCTCCTAGGAAGCCCTATACATGATTACTATGTGTTGGAACTGTCTCAAAGGCACTTAACAACAACGACAGCATCACAGATTTGACTAAATTTGTGAAACATTGGTTCTTCCTGAAGCTTGTCCAAGCAGATCTTATTATCAATAGAGGAAGCTCCTTAAAGAATTTACCTAATTTGCAAACTAATGATGTGATTTTAAGTTATTAAAATCAAGCCACTATTTAACCAAAATATATATTACTATTTAAAGGTGTTGTTGCCAGAATTAACAAAGGTGTTTACTGAATATGAGAAGAAAGATGAGGCTTTCTGTTCCCATAAAGATTTACAGCCTCAGAAACCCTATATAGTCATTTCCGACTCATAGCGACCCTGTACAGAATTTCAGAGGCCGTAAATTCTTTACGTGAGCAGAAAGCCTCATCTTTCTCCCGCAGAACAGCTGGTAGTTTCAAACTGCTGACCTTGAGGTTCGCAGCCTGATTCGTAACCACTATGCTACCAGAGCACTTTTATATAGAGAGTTGCTATGAATTGGAATTGGCTTGATGGTACACAGCCACCACCACTACTGGAAGAAAGATGAGGCCTTCTTTCTGCTCCCGTAATGATTTTAAGCCTCGGAAACCAGGAACAGTATCGCTGTGAGTTGGAACTGACTTGAAGAGCACATCATTACCACTACCCAATATATAAATATCGGAGTCCTTGCCTGGCACTGTAGGAGAAGCACTGGACTCCTCACCACAAGGTCATTTGTTCAAACCCACCAGCAACTCCTCAGAAACGCTTACAGAGTCTCTATGAGTCAGAACCCACTCAACAGCACTTTACAACAACCAAAGAGGACACCTGGCAACCCAACAAAGGCGCTTTCGCACTGAATTCTTGAGACCCATATGAGTATATCTCACCAAATAAAGTTTCTGAATGCATATTTGCTATAATAATTTTAAATAAATGTCTAAGGTTCTTACAAATCACCAAAAAGATTTAGACTACCATTAACCATAAGAATATGATTTACAAGAAATTCAAACATGAAAAAAATTAAAGTGGGTTTGTATTTCTCTACGTATGTAACTGTGATTGAATAAACAAACTTGGACAGCTAACTTTGATTGGATTTTCCCTTTCAAGAGTCCCAAGCACTCAGCTGTGACCTGGGAGGTCAGTGGTTCGAACCCACCAGCCCCACCTTAGGAGAAAGATGTACAGTCCACTTCCTTAAAGATCACAGCCTTGGACACCCTATGGGGCAGGTGACTGTCTTATACAGTCACTATGCATTGGAGTCAACTCAACGACAACAGGGTTTTGATTTAGCGTATCCTTTCAGGCATAGGGTACTGTACAAATGCTTTTGAAATGTAAAAGAATAAACCAATTCCAAATGGGCCGTACTGGAACAAACCAATTACAAACCTTAGTCTCCTTACTTCAATACTAAAGACTAGACTCAAGATCTCTTTCCCCCGACCCCCCAAATCAAGGGCTTATTAAGAATTCAGACTTTTGAAAGAAAAGACTTGGTCTAGACATCCTGTCCTATGTACCCGTGTGGGGTCTCAAACACTAAGATGCAAAATCCCAGATGCTCTGTCACATAGAGACTAAGGTCACAGGGTTATTTATAACTCTACCTATTGAAATTTTGGAGTCCTGGTGTGATGCTGTAGAATCAACATTAGACTGCTAACCACAAGGTTAGTGGTTCAAACCCACCAGCCATTCCTTGGAAACCCTATACAGGGTTGCTTTGAGGCAGAATTCACCTGATGGTACTTAACAACATTGAGATTTTTAACAATTAGGTTGAAAAAATAATACTCATTTTAAACAAGTGAACATTGCATCCATTCAGCAAGATGCCCATAAAGTGCATGGAGGGAAGATATATCTGCCTTTAAGTAGCTCACAGCCCAGATTCATGAGCAACAGTCTTTAGAACAGGATATGATAACTATCTTCTTTGGTTCTGGAACCAGACGTTCTCTAAGAAGAAAGACAGCTCTGGCTGTTTTAAAGGATCAAATAATTTACCTGGCTACATATGAACTGAAAGGAACACAAAGGGTCAACAAAAATAGGTAGTATTACAAATTTTCTAGATGAATTATGAAAAATCACATCTCAAGCCACAGTCTCTTGGAAAAGCAAATCTAATGCCTGTTGTTGCTGTTAAGTACTGTCAAGTTGGTTCGGATTTATAGTGACTCTGTAAAGGGTTTCCAAGGAGCGGCTTTGAACTGCGTAATGTCTACTTGGGGAATACATGAGTATGGCCACAATATGAAATGATGGATGATAGCACTGAAGGACAGGTGAAGTACAGAGGATGTGAAAAGGTCATCAGCACTCTCTAGGGATGGATGCCGGAGCCCTGGAGTCCAAATTCAGTGAGGGGAGTGGTAGACCAATGGAAGACATGTCCCAGAGAAACCTCCACCCTAACACTGAAAATGGCATAAAATCCAGTAACAAGTAGACCCATAGGGTGATGAGAAGGAGTTTCAATACTGGCTGAGTGGTAGTCACGGTGAACACACCCTAGGGTAACCCCCGATGAGTTCTAGCTCATGGAGTTCACACTTGTTTTGTGATCCCTCCCCTTGAGCACAAACGGTAGCTGTACTTACTTCTCATCAGGAGAATGTGGCAAAAACAGATGGGATGTCACCCCCCACAATGACCTTATATAAAGGAGCTACAAACTCCTCTAGCTGGCTGCCATGTTGTGAGAGATCTCTGGAGAGGACCATGTGGCAAGTAATTGGGGACGGCCTTCCAGCAGCAT